CACAAGGACTCGGGGCCCCTGACCTCTCTAGCTCACTGGCAGGTTGTGCTCAGTACCATGCCCTACTTTGCTCTGATTTCTAACAAGTCCCCTCTTGCTTCAGCAGAAGAGTAAGGGACCCAGGTGTGACTTCTGGGGTAAACGTGGGTCTGAACCATCTCAGGATGAGTGCCTCTTGGGGACAGCACCGCCTCTGGTCCCCTTGGCCAGATTCCTGTGGTGGATAAAAACCTGACAAAGACCCCAGGGCCTCTAGGGAACTCTAGCCTGTTCTCTCGACGCCAAACCACTGCGAGTCAGGGGAGAAGGTCCGCAAGACCAAGGCAAACATTTGGCACAGAAATGAGGCACTTGTGTTAGGTGCGTTGATAGGAGCTAAAAAGTGGACCAGCCCACCTGCTTTCCCACACACCCCCCACACGCCATGGGGGTCACGCGCCGTGATTCGGTTGATTCCAACTCCGCTCATCACGACGTCTTTCTCTGCTTCTCACGTGAAGAGAATCCCCAAAGCACATCTCTAAGCCCATTCTGGAAAGTGAGCCAATGGTACCCGTGTACTTGAAGAGCAGGGACTTGACTTCTGTGAGCAGAGGAGGTGGGGAAGTTCAGGCTGCATCACGCCCTACACCACGGGCAGTGAGTGCCTCACGGGCACAGGGCCTGACACAAGGAGATTCAGGCTCTATTTCATGTGGCCCTGGTTCTTTCTCTCAGGGCAAGTTCCAGGGTATCCAGCTTCTCTTGACATGTGACCAGCGACAGATTCAGGTGGGGAAAACCACAGTATTGGAATGTTCATGTAAAACCGTGGTCACAGACCAGATCTGGTGGCTGAGCTGAGGCAGAACAGCAGCACTCAAGATGACCTGCAAGTACTGGGGTTCCTTCTTTTCTTCTGTCTCCCCTCTGCTTGAGCCTATCACAGCCAAACAAGATCTCTCCAGGAAATAGCAGGTGTGGTGAGGGGCAGCTGAGGGGCACTGAGAGCGGCCCGTACTGCAGGTCCTGCTATGCTGGCCTGAGGATGGCCCAAAACAAGCTGCTGGAGGGATACTCAGTCCAACCCTGGCACTTCCTACTGCCCCTGGATTTCCCCATCAGAAATGGGGTCCTCCACCATTAGGAAAAGGCTTATCGATGCGAGAAATAGTGGGGGAGGATGCTGGAGGCAAAACTACCTTCCGGTAGTCCCACACACGGTGGGGACACAGCGTCACCCCAAGCCCACTTGCCCACCCCTCTACTTTGGTGGCCAGCTGCCCACAGAGCACCCTCCACGGGATGAGATGGACGGGATGGGATGGCCTCCCCACACCATGGCCGGGTAGGCTGCACCACCAGACACATTACAGTCGAGCAACGGCAAACTTATCATAAATAACTTGGCAGAAGTAAAATATAAATTATGTGGAAATGGCATTTTGCTTCCTTCCTTTTGGTTCCCAAGGTCCTTATGGGCTCTCCCCAGCTCAGCTCAAGGGGGCATGACACCATCACCTCTGACACCGCGGGCTGCTCTTCCCACAGTGCGGAAGGCTTCCCCAGCCCTCATCCTCACAGTGCATCGCCCCTCATTCCTGTCTCTGCCATGTTCCAGAAGGGCAGACCTGCATGGACCTTTGCCAAACACGCATCCCCTTCTCAGTTTCATTAGGAAGACGCAGGTGAGGGGACGTGCCAGCCTCAGCACTGGCGGGAAAGGGGTGCCCCTGCCCACAGCGAGGTGCCGCCATCATGCAGCTCCTCTGTGAGCAGCAGGCATCTCATGTCTCCATGCACACTAGGGCAGCAGGAACTCGGTGACCGCCATGCCTTTGTGCTGTCTCCTTGCAACGCGGACTCTGGGTGGCCACCCTATACCCAGCTTCTATCCAATAACCCCTGGGCTGCAGTGAGGTGTCAGGTGAGAAGTCGTTTTTCAGAAAGGCCAATCGCGGTGATGCCATGTGTTCTCGTTTTTGCAGTCTCGGATGATCCCTCTCCCCTCCTGGGCCTGGAATGTCAGGATGACTGTTCAGTACAAGTGGGGCCGGCCCTCCCCACCACCGTCTGGAGGGCTGTGACAGCTGTCCATCAGGTCTGGACCCTCAGATCTTTTTTGGAGAGCCAATCATGACCTTTGACACAAAGTTGACAATGGCACTGGCGGGCTGCTCGGGGTCGTGTTCTGCAAACAGGTGGCACACGTTGTCTGTGGCACTGCCCTGTTTCCGGGCCACGAATCCAAAGACTCTGTGAAGGGAAAATCCAGATGAGAACAGCCAGTGTCCTGCAAATCCCTGCACCTGCAGGGCAACTCCTTCCCCTCCAGCTTCTATGACCCAGGAGGAACTCTAACTGCCATCAGCCAAAACTCTACACCAGGTGCCAAGTACCCCTAGGCAACTGAACTCCAGGTGACCTCCAGTCTCACGCACCTGTGGGTCTGGCCTGTGCCTTCTATTCTGCAGGGGAAGAACTGAAGGGTGGAGGGAGGTGTTCTGCTCACAGCCCAGGGCTTGGGCTCCAACCAAACTGAGACTTCACTTGCTTCCCAGCTGCTCCTCGCGCCTGGACCGGAACCATCTGGGCACCTGTCCAAGCGACTCCTAGACTCCCCTCAGTGTTTTGAGCTAGAGTCTGTAAGGGGAGAATGGGGCCACCAGGGCTCACAGAATGATGTGGGATGTGCCTATGCCCTGCCTCAACTGTGATGATCATTCCTGCCGCTGGGACTCGGGAAAACCACCAGGACTCTTCTCCTCCCAAGCCTGGTTTACACACTGTCTTGTCTAGGAAGTTGTTTAAAAACTACAGCACACCCAGTTATTTTTCTTAGAAGAACTGAAGCCCTCATCTTAATGGGCTTTGATGAGCACTCGACATATTATCCAGATCTAGATCAGGGCCGTGGCTGATCATGTCTTGATCCCTGGCAATGGCTGTGCTCAGAAAAATGCAGGAGTTTTGTTTTGTTTTGTTTTAGCTTAGCAGTTTAGCTTAGCAGGGCACTCAAGTAACCCTGACGAAGTCGCATACTCCAGGCAGATGAAAGCCTCGGGTCAGCCCTGCATGCCAGGACGTGCAGGCATGCCAGAACCCATTCCCTGTGGGGTCAGGCTCTCTGAGTACCTAGTGGAAATCCCAGAGAAGGTTCCTGCCATGAGACACCTGGGGACATTTGGAACACATACAAGAAGCCAGGCCAGGGTACGGACAGCTATACCTGGATTTGGGGTGAGGACCAGGGCCTTCACCTGCAGGGCAGGGCAAGAG